GATGATTAACTATAGTTAGAGGGTTGTTATTTTTTTCCGAACATGTTTGGAATACTAGAATTCATGTGTAAGAATGAACAATGCATCACATAGATTATAATTCAAAAACTGGCTCAAAGGGGATAGACCTCCCTGAGGCATTGCATTAAGGAGTTCTCAATTTGCAGCGTGGAGAAAAGCTCCCTAAAATCAGCAGCCTAGGACACATCTTGGCAAAGGGCCTTTTTTTAGCCCCAGGTGGCTGGCACTACAGCTAAGTGTGGAACCACCATGCATTATCAATTTATTTAAGTGACATTGAGAAAATTCCCCATTGTATCCCAGTATGTCTCATACTCTCATGTGACATAACTTCAGTGACATATAAGCGGCTGCCAAAATGTTTCAGTGGCACAGTGAAAGGTTCTAATTCCTAGAGAGGGGTGAATAGCCTAATAAAATCTTCTACAAATTACTAGAGCAAAGAGTTAATCAAATATGAAGGGAGGCTTTTTGCTCTAGCTCTACTAAAAATAGTAAGCCACCTAAACCAACAATTCTAGTTGCTATGATCACTGTGCACTCACAAAGGCTAAGTTGCTACTTGCCTAGACTAGTGAGCTAGCTAAACAACTAATTAAGTAACTACAACTGCACTAGTTACACTAACAAGCTACTCAAGCTACTACTACCACAAATGTATATAAAAGTAAATGCAAGAGAGTGGTAGTGAGGTATACCGCACGTGGCAAAAGATGATCAATAAGAATACCAAGTGAATACCGGGAGAATTCCAATACACAATTGACACACGATTTTTCTCCCGAGGTTCACGTGCTTACCGGCACGCTAATCTCCGTTGTGTCGACCGTTCACTTGGTGGTTCGCGAGCTAATTGGCGCCACGTCAAGCCCTACACTAGGGTGTTGCAAGAACCTACCCACAAGTGAGGGCAACTCAATGACACGAGCAATTTACTAGAGTACATTTTGACTCTTCACCAGGAGAAGGTCAAGATCCGCACAAATCATCGGGAGATGGCCACAAACAATCACTAACTCGTGCCAAAGCTCCTCCGCTGCTTCAAGCCGTCTAAGTGGCGACAGCCACCGAGAGTAACAAAAAAACGCAGCTCAAACGATCCCCAAGTGCCACTAGATGCAATCACTTAAGCAAATGCACTTTGAATCACTCTCAATCTCACTATGATGATGAATCAATGAAGGAGATGAGTGAGAGGTGTTTGCTCACAAGAATGTATCACTGATGAAAATATGCAAGAGGATGAGCCCAAGCCGTCCCTCTTCTATTTATAGACCTCAAAGAACTCCACTAGCCGTTATGCTTCGGGGAGGGTCCAGACCACAGATCTGCGCCGCGTGTCCCGGCGTTCAACCTCGTTCATTGGATCTGGTCACAAAACGCCCGCGCCAACGTCTCTTAGCTTGCTCCGGACCAGACCAACTCACTGGCGTCCGGACCCTTGCGTCTCCTGGGTCCGGAGCGGTCCAGAGAGGCTCAAAAGCCTCCGGACGCAGTTCGGACCCGGCCTCTGGACCAACTCCCAGGGTCCGGAGTCACCCAGGTCGCCTCCACGATGGGCCACGTCACTTGCTACACTGTGCGCCGCAGCCGGACTCGCCGAGCATGGTCCGGACCTACTGCTCTCCTGGGTCCGGAGCCAGCCAGTAGCAGGGCTGCCCTCGGGAGTCCCAACCAGACCCGGCCAAGAAGGCCCGGACCTGCTCGGGGGTCGGAAGCTTTCGACTCCTGCTGCTCTAGATGGTTTGTGTATTAGAGCAGAAGATATGGTTACCGACGAAAAACAATGAATTTCCGTAATATAATAAACAGGCCAATAGAGGCTTTGTGGAATGACGAGCTCATTCGCATCCGTCTCCGGTTCCACTCAGCCAGGTAATCCCAACATCATATCAGCTGAGCTGAAAGTTCATGAGAGTCTTGGCCACCAGGTTCAGATATGTGCTGCACAAGACCCTGCTGCAACCAGCAATTGCCTCACATGTGTGATCGTCATCTCGCTCGTTCGGCTTGCACCGTACTGCTTGTGCTTGGATCGGCTCCAGTTGTCCGTCTGTTGTTTTTATAAGAAGTCTAGCAGGTATTTTTTGAGAATTACATAAGTCCAAACGCACACACTCAATACGCACGCACTCACCTGTATAAACACACGAACGCAAACTCTATGAGCATATTCGAAAGACTATGCCGGCACATTTCGAGATTGACGAAGTCACCACAGGTGCCTCGTTGTTGATGAGAACATCGCCCACCACTGAAAGCACAACGCCCTTAAATCCTGAAATAAATCCAGAAAAATACGAGCGTCCGTGCCAAGTCAAGGACTTAAACTCGTGTGGGCAGCTTTCACCACAAGAGTCTAACTAACTCAGTTGCATATATATATATATATATATATATATATAGTACTGCATATTTGGCTTCATGGCCCGGCATATTGCATACTCAGCCAGGTAATCAAAACATCATATCAGCTGAGCTGAAAGTTCATCAGAGTCTTGGCCACCAAGTTAAAATATGTGCTGCACAAGACCCTGCTGCAACCTGCAACTGCTTCACCTGTGACCCGTGTGATCGTCATCTCGCTCATTCGGCTTGCACCGTAGTGCTTGTGCTTGGATCGGCCGCAGCTTGTCCTGCTGTTGTTTATAATAAAGAACTCTAGCAGGTATTTGCATATATGGTACTGCATATTAATTTGGCTTCTAGGCCCAGCATACCGGAAGGCCTACTGTGACAAAGAAGGCGACCGAGACTATTCCAAGCCTCAGACCACCGGAAACCAAAAGCCCGACTTGAAGTTCATGAGCCTAGTTGGCGCAATTGAGGAAGGCCATCGTATGATGTGGCAAGAGCAAACTGCTTAAGAGTTGTGTGAGACTTGTCCACGGCCATTAATTCTATAATACTCTCTCCGTCCTAAAATATAGTGCATTATGATTTTTAAAGTTTGTACTAAAATATAGTGCATTATATATGTGTCAATATCTAAATTTAGTAAAGTTTATTAAAAAGAAAACCATAATTTAAGAAGAAACACCTTAATTGGTATTCTATGCTTACATGCATCATTTGAGGATTCCCTTAAGTTGTCTTAAATTTTTTGGAATACACTATATTACAGGACAGAGGGAGTAGGCTAGTGTCACTTCCGATTTTAAAGACAAAATCGAATACAAAACATATGTATAGTAGGATCAGTCTATTCATATATGTGACCTAAAACATTACATTACGGTGTTTATTTACAAAAGCATGAATTTATTATAAAATAGCCCGAGGGTCTAAAACAAAATTACATAGATCGACTTTAATTAAACAACTCCAGTGGAAGATGACCCCATCTTCATAGGCAGCTGATTGGAGAAAGTACTAACCAAGCTCAAACCACACCATCTTCATTGAACTCCGATTCCTAAATCGTCTCACCACATGGGTGAGGTAGCAAGAGAGACGAAGAGAAAGGATGAGTATATCAAAATGCACTTTGCAAGCGTAGAAAAGTATGACATAAGGTTTAAATGCTATCAGATCAAGCCAAGATAAACAATATAGCAACAAGCCACTTTTTGTATGAGTTCCCTCGGAGGACCATGCTTTGAGCAAAGACCATGGCATGGCGATAATAAGTGTCATTTGAGCTATTGTTATGAACGTGAATCAGTTTGATCAAGTTGGGCCCCTCAATTTGCGGTAGTATCTTGGATAGGAGCAGCACGTAGAGAACGTATATACTCCCACTGTTCTGAATTATAGGTCGTTTTGACTTTTCGAGATACATCGATTTTACCATGTCTCTGGACATAGCGTATATATAGGTGAATAGTAAAATCTATGTATCTAGAAAAGCCAAAATGACTTATAATTTAAAACGGATGGAGTAGGTCACATTAGATGAAAAGGTGACATGATGACCGAAAAATCCGTGAATGTCTCCAGATGGTCACATGGTTTTGTGTATGACATGAAGAATTGGAATTAGGAGCTGAGGATAGAAATAGTTTATCGATATGTGATGCAAATATTCTTAGGTTTAGTGTCACATCACAAAGTGGTGCAGGAAGGAGTATAAAGTCATGACCAGAATCTGTAACTTCTCTTAGTGATGTGGGGTTCTCCTAGTGTTTTAGCATTCAACATTTAGTATAAATATTCCCTATCAAATACCTCTTAGTGAGGATTCTCATGTATTGTGACTGGTGGTAGTGTTTTATTAGGACCTAAAAACACTAGGAGAACTCTACCATTTTTTTTGTAGTAAGTGAAGACAATTATCATCTAAGGCTTATTTTTGTGTTGACCGGTTCAACCCAAGGCCTTAATTAGTTTGCTATGGGCCCTAGGCCCGTAGAACTTGACCTTTATGAGATGTTGTGAGCTAGACTGGATCCGACGTGGACTCTAAAATTGTCAGGCTAGAGCGCCGGTGGCTAAGCTAAAGTATACCTTAGGTAGACCACTATGTTTGGTTTTTTGAGCCACCTGATATAGTATTTGTATGTCTGTTAACTCTATAATTCAATAAACGGGGCATATTTGAATCCCCTCGTCTCTAAACTTTAGAGCTAAAGTCTTCAAACAAGTAGTCTAAAGTTATCTCTAAATTTTAGCCCACCTCACATTAGAGCTTTAGACCTTAAAATGAGCTAAAGTGCTCTAAAGTTTTTAGAGCTCTAAAGTTTAGAGAAGAGAATCCAAACAGACTCTTAAGCCTTCTGAAAAAGCTAGAGTATATCCAGCCAAAAAAAATTGATGCTTTATCCACAGTCAAGTCATCAAACTCAATCCAAGCACGGGGGGAAAGACACAAGAGTCATTTCCAAATAGCTGTGGTCCATGTCGGGCCAACATGCAGAACGGGACGAGGAACATACATGGATCATCGAAACACGACACATACAGCCGGCCGGCCGGCGCGGCTCCGATCCTGCCGGTGGTGCAGTGGATGGGTTGATCCGATCCGAACAAACAAGATCAAATCAGAAGGGCAGGACGTAGAAGCCAATGGCGTCGAGGTATTGGTCCGCGCGAGCGAACATGCCGACGACCACCTCCGTCACGTACTCGTGAGGGCCCAGGGTGATCACCTCGTCGCACACGCCTCCAGTGCCGCCCCAGGGCCCGGCGGTGTGCAGCTTGCCCTCCCGGTCCCGGTAGGAGAAGGAGATGGAGTCGATGATCTTGCCATAACGGAGGGAGATGCTCTCCAGCCGCTGCGGCGCCACCGTGATGTCGTAGGCGCTGCCGTGGTCGCCGCTGCCCCACGTCCCGATCTTCACCAACGCCACCTGCACATACACCCAGGACTTCATCTCACATTTCATTTCATGTATCTGCTGCTAGCTGATAGATATTGCAAGGAGATCGACCAGCAGTGCAAATAATAAAGAGACCGACCATGTCGTCGTCGCAATCTTTGCTAGCTGTTGGGTGTATCTGAGCTGAGGGATGCAAATGCAATGCGCGCGCGCACACACACGATAGTCTACTGCTTTCTTGTGTAAACACATAGCAAGGGAAGACGACGTCGAAAAGGCTCCCTGTTGTGGTACTATAGTAGCTGTAGAAGGCAGACGCCGAACGGCTCACCTGCCTCACTGTAGCCACAACAGGGACAAACGCAGAAGTCAGTCCTGCTGTGTTATCTAGTCACTGTAGCAGCATGACAGCTGTACTAGGACTAGATGAATAGAGTTATATAAATAGTTTGCTACTGCAACTTAGTAAAGAGAGTTTAGATTTGCCATCTCCTATATAGAGCTCCGGCCAACGCTGGTGTCTCTATTGTGTGTGTATGCTCTGTTCTTCCTCTCGTCTTCTACCTCTAGCCATAGTGTGTGGTCAGACAACGTCTGTCATGCTCGGCCGTGGTCGACAAGACTGGTGAGTGGTCGACTCACCTGAGCCGGTGATCTTGTGGGCTAACAAGTACTATCAGAGCCGTACAAGTGCCGTCGCTGGACTAACCACTGACGATGACGAACGGTTCAGAAATGGACGACAGCAGTGGCACTGCTGTGGCTGCCCAACCACGACAGGAGGTTGTTGTTAGCACGGTGCAGGAGGTCAGTGGCACCAGTTGACCGACGCTGACTCGAACCAACTATGGAGAGTGGTCGGTGACCTTGAAGGTCAAGCTCAGAGCCCGACGGCTCTGGAATGCTGTTGACAAGGGCACCGAAAATAAAAAAGATGACATGTCAGTGTTGGAGACAATCCTCGTTGCTGTACCGACGGACTACAGAGAGCCATTAGGGGCGAAGAGCTCTGCTCAGGAGGCGTGGGAGGCTATCACGGCGATGCGGGTCGGTTCCGACCGCGCAAAGAAGATGACGACTCAGCTTCTGAAGCAGGAGTACGCCAACCTTAAGTTCAAGGATGGTGAAATGGTAGAGGATTTCTCCCTCCGTCTGCAGACACTCATCAGCAAACTGAAGAGCCACGGTGTCACCATTGACGAAGAGGAGGCGGTCTCCTAGTACCTCCACTCCATGTCGGCAAAGTACATCCAGATCGCTCTCTCCATAGAAACGATGCTGGACTTGTCCACCCTCACTATTGAAGATGTGACAGGCCATCTACGGGCGGTGGACGAGCGCCTGGAGCAGGCAACAGCAACGAAGGACAGCGACAAACTGCTGCTGACAGAGGAGTGGGCTGCTCGGAGGAACTTCGAGGTAGCCTCCTACAGCCGCGGTGGCGATGGCAAGCGTCGCAGCAAGACTTCTTCAGAGAAGAAGAAGCAGGTCGACCCCAATGTCTGCCGGCGCTGCGGGAAGACAGGCCATTGGGCACGGGAGTGCCTAAATCGTAAGCAGGAGAAGAAGGCTGAGGCTTATCTGGTGCAAGCTGATGATGATGATGAGGCCACTATCCTGATGGCGATGTTCTGTGCACTGCACGACGTCGAGGCCGAGGAGAAGGGAGAGGTGATGACGGTGGAAGGACCTGGGAAGGCCCTGAAGGCTGTCAACCTTGACGAACCGCGGGCCCAAGTCCACCTCGGACGTGTGGGCGGCGAGCAGGAGTAGCCGTGGTACCTGGACTCTGGCGCCAGCAACCACATGACGGGCTCTAAGGCAGCCTTCTCCGAGCTCGACGATGATGTTACCAGTACGGTGAAGTTTGGTGATGGCTCAAGGGTAGCTATCTGAAGGCACGACACCATCTTCAGGTGCTAGAACACGGAGCACCGCGCGCTAACAGATGTATATTACACCCCATAGCTGCGTTCAAGCATCATCAGCATTGGTCAGCTGGATGAGCACGGTAGCGAGGTACTGATCAAGGACGGAGTCCTTAGGATCAGGGACCGGGAACAACGACTTCTTGCCAAAGTGAAGAGGTCCCTGAACCGATTGTAACTGCTCGACCTAAAGGTAGAGCAGCCGATGTGCCTAGCGGCAAGGCACACCAAGGAACTGTGGCTGTGGCATGCCCGGTTCGAACATCTCAGCTTCGACGCGCTTGGTCAGCTGAAGAAGATGGTCCGAGGGCTACTCCACATCGAGCACAAAGGCGAGCTATGTGATAGCTGCCTTGCTGGGAAGTAGAGGAGGCTATCGTTCCCAAAGGAGGCCAAGTATCTCGCAGAGGAAGTTCTCGAGCTCGTCCACGGCGACCTCTGCGGGCCGATCACGCCAGCCACAAATGGTGGTCGGCGGTACTTTCTCCTGCTCGTGGATGATTGCAGTCGCTACATGTGTCTGCAACTCCTAACAAGCAAGGACGAAGCGGCGGCAACGATCAAGAAGTTCAAAATGTGCGCGGAGGCCGAGAGTGGCAAGAAGCTCTGCGTGCTGAGGACTGATAACGGTGACAAATTCACTTTAGTGGAGTTCGCTGCATACTGCGCGGATCAGGGTGTGGTGCGCCACCACACCGCGCCGAACTCACCACAACAGAATGGCATGGTGGAGCGACGGAACCAAACGGTGGTCGGCATGGCTCGATCCATGATGAAGGCCAAAGACATGCCAGCAAGGTTCTGGGGTGAGGTGGTGACCACGGTGGTGTTCATCCTCAACCGCGCTCCTACCAAGGCCCTAAAGGGCAAGACGCCGTTCGAGGCTTGGCATGGATGCAAGCCGAGCGTGTCCTTCCTTTGGACATTCGGCTGCATCGGCCACGTCAGGATGACAAAGCCGATCCTCACCAAGCTGGAGGACTGGAGCACACCGATGGTGTTCCTGGGCTACGCAGAGGATACCAAGGCATACCGGCTCTATGACCCACGTGGAGACAAGGTACTTGTCTCATGCGATGTCGTGTTCGATAAGAAGGCGGCTTGGGACTAGAACTGTCCAAGCACGGGGCAAGCTGGTGGCTTCACCAGCACCTTCGTCGTTGAGCACTTGGTCATCCACGGTGGTGGAGACGCGGTGGAAGAGGTGCCGAGCACTCCGGGAGGGGTGCCAATCACTCCAGCGATAGAGCCGACCACTCCTAGGGCGATGCCAAGCACTTCGGGAGGGATGCCGAGCACTCCGGAAGAAGTGCCAAGCACTCCTAGAGGGATGCCGAGCATGTCAAGAGTGGTGCCAGGAGGTTCTGCAGTGGTGGCGACCACTCCAAGACGGGTGCCGAGCACTCCCGTAGTGGAGCCGAGCAGTCTTACAGTGGTGCCGACCACTACAAGACTGGTGCCGAGCACTCCGGGAGGGGTGCAGTCCACTCTAGGAGTGGTGATGAGTTGTCCAGGAGTAGTGCTGAGCACTACAACCAAGATGCCGAGCACTCTAGGTACTGTGCCGAGCACTTTGGCGGAACAGGGAACTCCATCAACACTGATCGAGTTCGCCTCACCTCCAAGTGACATCACTGAGTTCGTGGATGCCTTCCACGAAGGTGAGGAGGTGCGGTTCTGCAAGCTGGACGATATCGTCAGTGGCATAGGACCCTTAGGCCTGGCTAGTCGGCTACTCAATGACCAAGAGCTACTGCTCGTTAGTACAGAGGAACCACCCACGTTCACGCTGGCCGAGCGCGATAGAAACTGACAATGGGCGATGTTGGAGGAGATGAAGGCGATCGAGAAAAACGATACTTGGAAGTTCATCCGATCCACCTCCCGGATGTTGTTTGATCAGCCTGAAGTGGGTGTACAAGGTCAAGCGGGACGAGCTCGGTGCCATTGTCAAGCATAAGGCACGCCTCGTCGCCCGAGGCTTTGTTCAGTGCGAGGGCATCGACTTCGAGAAAGTCTTTGCGCCGGTAGCGCACATGGAGTCTATTCGTTTGCTACTAGCTTTGGCAGCAAAGGACTAGCACATCCATCACTTGGATGTTAAATCGGCCTTCCTCAACGGTGAGCTGGCTAAGATGGTCTTCGTCAGGCAACCTCTAGGTTTCACCATCAAGGGAGCAGAGCACAGGGTGCTCCGACTGCACAAGGCGCTCTACGGGCTGCGGTAGGCCCCACGAGCGTGGAACGCCAAGCTGGGCAAACTTGGGTTCTAGTGGTGCGCAACCGAGCATGCGCTCTACACACGGTGATGGGGGAAGGAGGAGCTCGTCGTCGGCGTATATGTGGATGACTTGATCGTCACCGGCGCGTGTACGGAGGACATCGATAGCTTCAAGCGTGAGATGGCGACTCAATTTCGAATGAGCGATCTCGGCGCACTCTCCTACTACCTCGGCATCGAGGTGAGACAGGGGAAAGAGGAACTCATGCTCGGTCAGAGCACGTATGCCTCGAAGCTGTTGGAGCGGAGCGGCATGGCAGAGTGCAAGCCATGCGTGACTCCGATGGAGGAGCGGCTGAAGCTGACGAAGGCTAGCACTGCGGCGAAGGTGGATGGAACACTCTACCGAAGTATAGTCGGTGGTCTGCTCTACCTAGTCCACACGAGGCCGGATATTTCATTCGCCGTGGGCTACGTCAGTCGCTTCATGGAGGATCCTCGAGAGGATCACTGGGTTGTGGTGAAGCGACTACTATGCTACGTCAAGGGGACGGTGGATCAGGGAATCATCTTCCCCAAGACCGACGGAAGTAGGCTGTAGCTCACTGTGTTCAGTGATGTAGACATGGCGGGGGACATCGATGAATGACGAAGCACCTCTGGCGTGCTCGTCTTCCTTGGGTCAGCTCCGATTTCATGGCTATCGCTGAAACAGAAGGTGGTAGCGCTGTCTACGTGCGAGGCAGAGTACGTAGCGGCGGCCACAGTGGTGTGCCAAGTTGTGTGGCTGCACTGGCTACTAGGCGAGCTGACCGGTGCGGAAGCTCACCCACCAGCACTGATGGTGGACAACCAGCCCGCCATCGCCCTCGTGAAGAATCCGATTCTCCATGACTGGAGCAAGC